CCAATGTTTTTCATGGGCAATCCCGGCGATTATGCGTGGGGTCGCGAAGGTATCGACACAATTGTAACGCAATTGCTTAATCAAATGGAGACATCTGGACCGCCACCATTACCCAAAGATAAAATCGATGAAATACCAAAAGTACATGTAACCTCCGAGGACGTAGAACGTAAAACTCAGTGCTCAGTATGTTGGGAGGATTTTCGTATGGACGAAATAGTACGAAGGCTCCCATGTACACACATTTACCATGAGAATTGCATTGTTCCATGGTTAGACTTGCACGGAACGTGTCCAATCTGCCGTAAATCTCTAAGTGAAGAAGACGAGGCGAACGAATGCGACATGACCCGTAGTGGTGTCATGGACAGCAGTATGACCGAGATATCACAATCCGATGATACGACAATGGAAAGAGCTGGTCCAAATGAAAACACCCAGAGTACCAGCAATAGTGCTACCCAATCAGTACCAGCAGGTAGTGGCTCTAGTCAAACTGAAAATCAGCAGCAGCAGCAACAAAACAATGTGTTCGGATTTGACGATAGCGCTGTTGATTTGGATTAAACAGTTTTCTAGCAACCCAGCCTATAAAATTTAAATAATATGTTACTTTATATATGAAAACAATACTTCTATTCTTTGTGACGATATCACTACAAAGAAAAGTAACAGCAAGAAGCGTGGCTAATATTGCTATTAAAAACCTTTGCATACATACATACATATTAAGAACATACATACCTACATTCAATGAGAAATCGTACATACTATCATAACTATAAATACCAATACCACATTCTAAATCAATCTTGAAACAGAACGGGCATAAGGTAATTTTTTGAAAGTTAATATCATGGGTTGTTTTGAAAAAAATGTTAAGAAATAAACTAAACTGTAGAGAGGTCAAGGCGACACGATTATAACAATTTAATAAAACCAAAACTTGCTTTCTGGAGTCCTTAAAATCACCGCGATAAACCTTAAATTATGTAAAAATTAAAGATACACGAAAAATGTTTCATTTAAAATAAAATTATTTAGTTTTCAATTTTTAACTATTTGACCCAGATGTTATATATAGCTTTCATTTCGTAATTAAATGGATATGAACTGAATGCAATTTAAGATTTAATAAACACAAAAGTTTAAATAAATTAAGCTACTAAAAAGTAAAAAAAAAGTATATACTTAAAACCGATACCAGTAGGTTAAGCGATGACGTTGGTATTGTTGGTATAGATAAACTTTGATCAGATTGCTATATGCATACATATATTATATGCAAATACATTTATTGATATTGTATAAAATAGGGTTTTAATTGCTTCGAGAGAGAAATTATTGAAATATAATGGATAATTGCAAAGAATACATTAAACAACATGTTAAGGAATGGTGAAAAACTCAAGTATGTACTAATAAACTGATAACCCGTTAATTTGCTATTTTTATAGCTTGCATGACAGCTCATAGAAAATGAAAATTTTAAATTGGATTTTTCTGGCTAAAATAAAACGGACGAGTTAAATAAGTAACTACCATTACTCATTTATTTATATTTTAAATTAAATTGTATGCATACACGTATCGTGCAAATTAAAATGTTTAGCAAAGTTAAGCTATTATGTTCTTAACTAATAACATAGATATATTTAACAGTACCAGCGAAATTAACGAAGACGGTTTTTGTTGTTGGTTTTTCAATTTAAATACATATTAAAAACAAATGTGCGATACTAAAAACAAAATATGTACACAGAAAATAAATATAATAAAATATTAACGAATGTATTTATTACAGCTGAACATATGAAGGTACTACATATATATATGTGCATTAGGGTAGTCCTTAACAAATCAGATTAACGATTTTTTTCAGTGTCACCTTCAATCGATAATACCAATAATCCTGATTGGGGACGGTTAAGGCTTGTCGCACGGTGGGCAAAGCTCAGATTCCTCCATAGAGACTCAAGAAATTAAAATTATTATTTTTTCATCTAATACCCAAAATCGATACTACCATAAGCGAAGATATCACATATAAATTTTGGTCCCGATTGGAGTAGGTAAATGCGTGTCGCAAAGGGGTCTATGGAGACTCGACAAATTAAAAATACTAAAGTCGAAGATATCACATATTAATTTTGGTCACGATTGGTCAATTAAGACGTTTTCATAGCGTAATCGGAAATTTGACCCCTGTGCGACACGCCTTAAGCTCGTCCACATACAACACAGTATATACAGTAATAAACCTTTTTGAGTACTCCTCGGGGCGTAAAATGTGATCAGGGTTAATAATGAGAAGGAGCATGAATTTTAATGATTCAGAATTTTGCATGCAAAATTACTGTGGTATGAAAGGCAGCAACAACCGTACTAAGGCAGAGTGGCGCAGGTAATTTTGTAAAGAAACACTTCTTATCATTTTGAAAAGATAATTTCTATTTATTTTCCAATATTCAGATATCCAGCTTGTAACCTGAGGCAGTGGCTTGTGAGGCTCACTAAAATCTACTCATCATATTGGAGCGGCTGCGGGTAATGGATCATTGAATGTGTTGGCTGAACTTATGACCAACATAACCAACGCAGTCTCCAACCAATTGCGTGTATTGAATTTATACGGTAGCAGTTGCTATTGTATGTGTTTATGATTCATATTTTTGACATTCTATACTTTGATGTTAAGTATTTTTGACGCTCAAACTTGGGTGTGCTTAATGAGCTGTCTGGGCGGATGCGCTGGCAGGCATTAAAGTCTATATAACTAAACAAACCTTTGTTTTGGAAGACTTAAATATATTCGGAAATTTAGACGTTTCCTTGATAAACTCTCAAAATTCACGTTTTTAATAATAATACGATGTGAGTTTCCAGGCTATAGAGACACAAGCGTTAATTATTAACTATTGATAATATTCTTACTAGTGTTCGTCCAGCGGTTGAAATTCAACCGCAAAAATTAAGAATAGTTTATGTGAGTTGAGTTGAGCTGAAATAACATTAGTTGGAATAACCCATTCCATTGGAGGGGAGTTTAGATTAGTACTTAGCATAACATAACCTACCATAACATAAGAGTAAATAACATAACATATGTAAAAAAAAAACACCACAATATAACATCGCACATTCTTCAGTTGCATTTCCTTAATATCCCTATCACTTTCTTCCTCTCTATCTTTGTCTCTATCGCTTTTAATGTTTATTTTTATGTTTATGTTCATGTTCATGTTCATAATCATGTTCATGTTCATAATCAAGTTCATGTTCATGTTCATCTTCATCTTATCTTCATCTTCAACTTCATCTTCATCTTCGTTTTCATCTTCATCTTCTTCCTCGTCTTGGTCTTCATCTTCCTCGTCATCTTTATCTCTTCCTTTATCCTGATCTAAATATGTACATTCATTTCTTCATTTACATATTCACCCCCACCATTGTTATTAGGTTAGGTATTTAAATTTTCCTTCCTCTTTGTCTTTATATTTAGGATTCTTTACTTTTATTTTAAGAGGGATTCTCTTCTCCATACTCAACTTTACCTTCTTCCGGCACCCTGAAATTGTGCATATGGAAACGGTGCATACGAAATAATGCATATGAAAAAACCCGAAATAATGCATACATGCACAGTTTCGGTTGAAAACCGAAATAATGCATATTAGAAAAGCCGAAATTATGCATATGCACTCTCTCGTTTGAAATCCGAATTAATGCATATGAAAAAAACCGAAATAATGCATATATGCACAGATTCGGTTGAAAACCGAAATAACGTATATGAAAAAACCGAAATAATGCATACATTCACACTTTCGTTTGAAAACCGAAATAACGCATATGAGAAAAACGAAGTAATGCATACATGCACAGTTTCGACTCAAAACCGAAATAGTGCATACATGAAAACGAATTTCTTTCCGCGTAGGCGGCCTTCGGCCTAAGTAGAACTCTCCTATCTGTGTTGCCGGAAAAGAGGGGACGGAAGTATTTTTGGGCAGAACTTCTCTCTGCGTCGGCGGCCTACCGCCCCGCTTAGGGATTATATCCCTTACTAAGTAGAATTCTTCATTCTGTGTTGCTGGAAAAGGGGCCGCAAGTATTTTTGCGCAGAACTTGTTTCTGCGTAGGCGGTCTTCGGCCGCGCTTAGGGATTATAACCCTTACTAAGTAGAACTATCCTTTCTGTGTTGCCGGAAAAGAGGGGACGGAAGTATTTTTGGGCAGAACTTCTCTCTGCGTCGGCGGCCTACCGCCCCGCTTAGGGATTATATCCCTTACTAAGTAAAATACTCCTTTTTGTGTTGCCGGAAAAGGGGGCCGGAAGTATTTTTGCGTAGAACTTCTTTCTGCGTAGGCGGCCTACGGCCGCGCTTAGGGATTATATACCTTACTAAGTAGAATTCTCCTTTCTGTGTTGCCGGAAAAGGGGGCCAGAAGTATTTTTGCGCAGAACATCTTTCTGCGTAGGCGGCCTTCGGCCGCGCTTATGGATTATAACCCTTACTAAGTCGAATTCTCCTTTCTGTGTTGCCGGAAAAGGGGGCCAGAAGTATTTTTGCGCAGAACTTCTTTCTGCGTAGGTGGCCTTCGGCCCCGCTTAGGGATTATAACCCTTACTAAGTATAAGTAAATAATTCATATTACAAAAAACGAAATAATCCATATGCACACTTTCGTTAGAAAACCGAAATAATGCATATAACAAAAACCGAAATAATGCAAAAAAATACCGAAATTATGCATATGCATACTTTCGTTTTAAAAGCGAAATAATGCATATGAAAAAAACGAAATAATGCATACATGCACAGTTTCGGTTGAAACCGAAATAATAGTTGTGTTTTTTACAAATTATCCAGTAACTTGCCAGCAACTCTCCAGTAACTTTATTTCTAAGAATTCGCTCTCAGAGAAAAAATTTGCAATAAAGTACGCGAACGCTTTTCCAGTAATAATTTGCAAGTTTCATGAACAGCTGATAAATTGGTTGTTTATTCGCAGCAAATTCCTAATAAAACAATATATTTTGTATTTAAATAGGTTTATTTTGTGAAATTCAACAATAAAAACCCACAAACAGTGTCCTTATTAGTTTAAATTTCATCCAGCAACATGCGATCAGCTGTTTTTCGTACTGGCAAAAGGTGTGTACTCGTATTGAGAGGACAAAATTCTCCAGCAGAAAAAGTTCTGAGAATTTAGCAGCATTCGCTCTCAAAGAGACGAAATATCAACAGAAGTACGAGAACGCAAAATTTGCAAAAACTTGCAACCTTCGAAACAGCTGATCACTTGCACAGTTGCCACTGGTGATTAATTTGGCAATTTATTTTCTGCTTGGTGCATTTTCCCCCGATTTGGCATTTTATACAATTGAATAGTTTTGGATAAGAAAAGCTTTTTAAAATTAATTAATTATATCGGAATGAATAAGTTATGTTTCTCATAATTATTTGTGATATCACATGGTGACGCATTAGTATCTCCTCCAAATACCCATCATTGATCCAAAAAAATGTAATAGAGTAGATTTAAAATTATAAAATTTTCATTTCAACAATCAACCTACCATAACCGAAAACTTCAGCAAAAAACATTTCAACATGCTTCATTTAAATCTATTTTGGTATATTTAAAAGAAAATTATGGAACACACGAAAAATGTCATACGGCAACCATAGTCAGCACACACTAAAGTAAACAAACTGGAGATTAATAGCAAACTAACGAATAGTATACTTAACAAACGTTGTGCTTATTAAATTTACGCATTTTTAGTTGTATACTAGCATTAATAATAAAATTTGCAATATATAAATCAAAAAGGCCATATTTTCTTTTGTTTATTTACAAACATGTGTTTGTGATCAGCTGATTTTCTTACTTGCAAGTTTTAGCTGGGAAAAATTTTTCCAGCAGAAATTTGCAGCTCTCTTTCACATTTTGCTCTCTCAATTTCCCCTACTTTGCAAGTTTTTTGGGTACGAGAACGCAAAACCAGTAAAAGTTTTCTAAAACTTTAGATAGTTGGGCGTACGAGTACACTCCTAAATTCTTACAAGTAAAAATTTATCCAGTAAAATCCAGTAAAAGCCTGCAACTTCAACTGTCATTTTTCGCTCTCTCAATTTCCCCTACTTTGCAAGTTTTTGCGTACGAAAACGCCAAAACATGAAAATTCGTAAAAACTTTTACTGGATTTTACTGGAAATGAGTAAAAAAAACGCAACTAATGTCTAAATGCGCAATTTCGGTGCCTTCTTCCTCGGTTGAGTGTAATCTATTCATGTACATACATATCTACATACATATAATTCCTAAACAGCTGCTTAGCACGTTTCTGTAATTCAGTATCACTATTAAAGCATACATTTAGGGGGCATTTCCGCCCCAATCATGTACATGTATGGCATTGGTATTGAATTTTGAATTTTGAATTGATTTTTTCGCTCTATTTTAAATTAATTTGAAATTTTAATTGCCTACACATCAGCATCAAGGTACCTTTCTAATGATATATAATTGTTTATACCTTAGAAGTATTATTCAGCCGTAAAAGGGGTGTAAAGGAAACATGATTGCCTATTTATATAATTGATTTAAGCATTGATATTATACTTAACCTACATTTAGTTCATAAATAAGACAATTATAAATAAATAAATAAATTAATTATAAAGGCGAAACTCCCCATAGTAAGTGTGCGGTGGGCGCAAAACGAAAACGCCGCACACAACGCAAAAGTACTCCTCGGGGACCAATTGGGGAAAAACTGCGAAAAGGTTTATTACTGTATATACTGTGACATACAACTCCGGCGTTGCGTTGGCATTGGCGTCGCTTCAACAGCTGAGTATGAATAAATGAATTCAAATGCAGCCGTCCGCATAGCCAAAATGCGGCAACGCTGTGCCAACACAACAGAAAGATGGCCAACTCTCAACATCTCGCGTGCGTCGTTCGTCAGTTGTTGCAAATAAATAAATTATGTGAAATATTTTACCTTTTTAATCAAATGCAGACAAGAAATAGCGTTTTTCAAGGCGAATTAATATAAGGTGATAGCAGGAGTACAAAAACAAAAATTTAAATGTACTTTGTTTTTGCCTTGGCGGCATAAACTGTCAAAATCTGTAAGAGTGTGTGTAGAAATTCAAACAAAATTTTTCAATTTGACATCAGAAGCCGTGCGGCGAATCACATACACAAAATCAGCTGATCTAGTAACACCACCTTATATAAATTCGCCTTGGTGTTTTTTATCCAATTATTGATTGTATGGTCAAACGAAAACCAGTTTTCGCTGAAAACTTATTGAAAACTCACGTTCCACTCATTCCAATCGGTGTCTTCACTAGTTTTTTTCGATTATTTATCGAAGTGGAAGTCATATTTTATCATGATTCAATAAAACCTGATTTACATGATTCAAGTACTTGAAAGCAATTCTTGCTCATTCTCTTTTGTGTTTTTTATTTGCTTTTACACGTTTCAATTCTGTTGAATTCAAGTCTTTGGTTCTTTAAATGGGAAGCAACGAAAATGCCAAAAGCAAAGCAAGAAAGTTGAAACGACTTGACGGTACAGACGCATGTGTACTCGTCCCTTTTCTTCTCACCCCCTCTCTTCCACATGCGAGCAGAATTGAATTCAATACTTGAACTGTGTAAAAGCAGTCTAATACAAGGTTCGATAAACTGACAGTTGTCTCTCTCGCACCCATGAACCAAAAATACAAGATCACGTAAGAACGCGACGTTGTATTTGTAACTGGTTTTGAGAAAAAAGTTTGCGAAAGCGGGTTCGTCAGCTGGGCGTTTGTTTACATCACAAGCACCACTATTTTAGACTTTTATTCAAGTAAAGAAGAGTTAATTCAACATGACAACACATTT